TTGTGGGTTTTTTTTTCCACACTGAAGTTGAGCCCAAGTGAAGCCTCAAGTCAGTTAAGTGTGAGTCTGAGCCAAGTTGTGTCAGCCAACATGTGACTCCAGTCCAAGTTGCTGAGTCACGTCTGAGCTCCTGACTCAAGTACCCATCATAGTTAAAGCGTCTATGCTAAATAGTTCAATAGCTATTTAAGCTAAATAGTCTGCTGTGCTAGCATGTAACTGAGTTTCTGAGTTTCTGAAACAGTTTTTTAAGAATGAGTACTGATGAGGATGCTACGTGTTTGCGGTATGAAAGCCTCCTGCCTATTTTCTGATTTGATTTCCCAAACTGATGACCTTGACTACTGCCCAGCAGCTCTTGGCAATTCAACTCTTTGTTGAAGTTTATCTGTCAAAATATTATTTAAAAGTTTATTTCCCGAAGGGAAAAAAAATATTCAGGTTAATTTGAACATAGACAGACTTTAGTTTTTCAAATGTCTTCGCTGGTGTTCAATCTCTGATCTCACTAAGAGTGCTTCTGTCATTTCTGTGCAGCAGAGGGGTCTCTGAAAAGCACAGATCTGTGGCATGTCCACGTTCCTCCGCCGGTGGGATAATGTCCATGTGAAATTGGAGCCGGTGTTGAATTAACGGCTGGTAGGCTCGGCGAGACGACAGGATCAATCTCATTGGCTTTTCATAAAATTGCGTTCCATTTTCTCTTCTTCATTAAAGTGCGGGGAAGAGATATAGCTATATCCAGCCGAAAGCTGAGCTCTGAAAAACTACCACACCTCAATGAACCGCACCAGCATTCTGAGACTGGGGAGCACTATATATATATATATATATATATATATATATATATATATATATATATAAAGACTTTAACCTATTTGAAGGAACATTGCATCTCTGTTAGTGCTTGCACTTATCAAAAGAGGTTAACTGAGAAGAACTCTATTTCTCATTTGGGTTGCAGAATTCGGCGGGCTGGTGTGAAAGTAATCATGTTTTAATTTAGTTCTATTCCCTGGTGGATCTTGGCTTACATGGCGGTTTTGAAAGAAAATAAACCGAGAGAAATAAAATGGCTTCATGCTCTATGGATGTGTGGTCGGCATAATTAGAGGTCTAGCAGCCACAGACACGAATGCATGCTGGTCACAAACTCGAGGGGTCACTCGAGGACATGGGCGGGACAGAGAGGGGAGATAACTTCATCAGAATTCAGCAGGGCTAGCTGTGGATTCACCTAGGCATTTTTTATTTGCTTATGTGTTATGAATTATTCATGACGTCAAGTTTGTCCATAAGGAAATAACAGTACTTGTCAAAGTATACGGTTGTCTATTGCATGTTGCATTGTATGGGTTTGCCTTTGCATATGTTAGCCATATGCTCACATAGAGAGGCCTATGTGAGATGAATATGAATGTGTTATAATGTTCACGTGCATTCTAATATTTCATTGTGCCTAGGTCTTTCAGCTTTGGGGAGTTCAGCAGATTAATATCCCTGACCCAGGCTGCCCGGCCCAGCAGAGGTGCTCACCCGCTGACCGCCTCCATCTGCATAATTACAGAGCAGGCCTGGCCCAGGAAAGGGAGAAGAGCAGCACATTTACATAAATCTGCATGTGTCGCCTGTGCAATTAACCACTTGTGACACCAGCAACGTGTCTCCAGCGCCACTGACACAAATCCTGACTTAGTTTCAAATCCACACAAGGCAAAAACATCCCCTTAGAGGAAGTGAGAAGCAAAGCGCTTTTTCAGTCATTCAATAGTCCATGCAAATCAATGCACCGAATACGCTAATACTACAAACTGTCTCATATGAACTCTTATGTATGATGATGGTCTGCGGGTTCGTGTGTTCTGCTGACAGGAGCGCATTCAGGATAATGGAAGTATGCGGTGGTCCCCAAGCAGCTCAGTAAAGCAGAACTGAGCTGTGTCTCCGTGTGTATGGATCGCTGAGCTCTGAGATGACAAAATGCCTCAGTGCTTCTCCCTATCAAACACACTGACATAAAAAGATTGAAAGAGAAAACTCCAGGCAAGATTTGCCATCTCACACCATCGGCAATGGAATATATATTTTTTATTAAAAGAGGATTGTTTCTGGTTGCCACTTTCACCAAACAACTTCTTGCCTTTTCTTCTGTCATGTTGCATTGTCATCTCAGGATACAATTATACCATTTAAGTCTGCATCTACTGCTGCTGTAACTAAGCAGGCCAAAAGGTTCCATATAATTACAGCATTTAAAATCACCACACAGATCAACAGTATGTCAACAGTCATGAACAATAACACACCCACATAAGAGAAAATCATGCAAATTATTTTCTCACAGTCCTTTTTCAGCTGACAATGGAGATCCATTTTTCTCTGCTTTGTTGTGCAACCTGTTGACATGGCTGTCGCTTTCTGAAGTGGAGAAAGAAATTCTGGCAACAAAGCTAGAGTCCCACTGGGAACCCAATTCTGCGCCAGCAAGACATTACTGCCGATCCCAGAGGAGGCTGAAATGCACTCGGCAGACATTACTGCGAATCTCAGAGGAGCTGCAGCCCAGTGAGTTGTGACAGTTCTGAGGCGCAGACTGTTCCAACACTGTGACCGTATAGTGTGGCTTCACACAGTGGCCACCATAGAACAACTCGCATGCATCAGATCATGCTTTACTGATATATTCACTGCTTAGGAGAATCAGAGATTTACAGTGAACTTGAAGATACAGTAGGGGAGTCTTTGATTGGCTCCAGTATAAAATATTAATTTGGTCCACAGGCTAATATCATTGCCTTCTCCTGGAACTCATTCTGCTTGTAGTGATGGGCATTCTGGCTCTTTTTAGTGAATTACATCAGTTAGCTTAGCTCACAAAGAGGAGCCTGCTCTTCAGTCTGTGGCAAATCCATCAACCACCAGTCATTAACAAATAAAGGAAAGTCAAAAATCAAAGATAAGTCAAAAACAAAGTCAATAATTGGAGGAAGTAATGAGGCATGCTTGAAGAATTACACGAAAAGGCCAAGAACAAATCTAAAGCAAAATTTACACAACAATCAACAGGTGTTAGGGATAATAAGGGGGCATAGTTGGAATGTTTAAAATTGGAGATCCAGAAGAGGGGGTCCTGTGATAAACCAAGTTGCACTGTATAAAACAGACTGCACTACTTAAACAATGTTGCTTCACTGTAACATGAACTGCTATGTCAGTTGCTAGTGTCCCAACATTCTCTGCAGGTCTCTCTCTTTAGTCAAAAAAACAAAACAAAACAATAACAAGATAATACACAGTTTAATTCATTGTTAACTATAAACATGAACATGCCTTACACTGAGTGGCCAATTCATTAGCCATATGTAATTAACTGGTTCCTTTTGGCCCTGATCTGAATCATTCATTAATATATGAACTATGAAGTTGTTGTTTAACCATGAGAAACATTGGAGTCTCATGTTGGAAAGTAAATGTTTATTGTGTAATTACATGTAATCAGCAGTAATTGTTTGTTCACTGCTTTTATCTCTCAGTTTCTTGAGAGTGCAGTAAAGTGGTTGATGTTTATGAAGATTATGATGATATCTTCATGTGATTTGATCATTGATTTTGCTACATTTGCTATGAAATATTATTTAAAACACACTGAAAACATAAATTTGAGGAACTATTTACACAGCAGTGGAACATAGACATTAAAAAAATACATCAAGCTTTTTTAAAGATTTTAACATTTGAAAAAGACCTAAGAATTTTACTTTGGAGCAACAAATGACTGCATACCTTTACTGAATATTATGATTGATTATAATTAGAGATGGCACCGATCCAATGCTAGGTATTGGAGTATTGGGCAGATAGCAGCAGAAAATGCTGGATTGGATATCGGAGGGGAAAAAATTGAACTGATCCTATCTGGTAACAAATAAAGAGTTTTATTCCAAAATGCTGTATGTCTGTATTTTTTTGGATTTTATGAGATTTTCAAAAGAATAACAGCTGATAATGGAAAACACGTTTTTATTTTTCTAAAGGTGGTATTAATCATAATACTGCAATGATATTTCTTGTATGTGTCAAGTCCACTCTCAACAATGCATCATGAAAAAAAGAAATGTTTGAAATTCTTGGTCTATAATGTGTTTTGCAAAAAAAAAAAAAACTAGCCTCTATATATGTATTTTTGTCCTGTGGCAGGGCAACTGAGTATCAAACTGCTTAGATCGTAGTATCAAACTGCTTAGATCGTCTCAACTTAAATAAAGTGCTTCAATAAAATCTCATTTTAGAGATAATTCATTTTTAAAGAACAAATATCGGACTGGTATCAGCAATCAGCATTGGAAAAAGAAAAATAGTACTGTGCCATCTTTCATTATAATCAGTCCTACATTGCAACAGCAAGGCTGTTAAACTGTCATCTGCATGAATCATCAGATACATTTTTACACCCAACTTAATGCATATGGAAGTATAGTGTTGTCGAAGATAGTGCGCGGCAGACAGAAGCAGAAAGCATGGAGCAGGTGTGATCTACCCCACACCAGGCAGACTGAGACGCGTGTTACTCTGGGGACTTTGTCAAAGAGCAGGAAGTTTCATCCTTGTGGCTGCTGTTACCCTCAGCAGACGCGCGATGAGAGACGCCACTGAAGCTTTTGTAAACATCACGCAAATCAAGGGGAATAATTTATGAACACTCAAATATTTTGTTGTTTTGTTTGGACTTTTATTTCCTGTTTTATAATAAAAGGTGGGGAGGTGCGGGAATAATACAAAAAGTATGCATGAATGATAATGAGAGATTCAAGCTGAAAAAGCAGCCCACACACAGTCACCTTTTGCCAAGACCCTGGAGAAATACTACATCAAACACTGTTGACACTGAACCCATAGTGTGTGTGTGTGTGTGTGTGTGTGTGTTCTAGAATGTTAATCTCACAATTTAACTTTATCTAATGGACTAATGGTAATTGACTGTGAGGAAGCAGGTGCCCTACCTTGCAGAAGAGGTTGATCTTTGAGAAAGCCTCCATCATACTCCACATGGTACTGCTTTACCTGAAAGCCAGGTGAACATGCTGCCTCCTCCACCTCCTCCTGAGCTCCAGTGCACACGATCTGAGGAAGAGGAAGCAATATAAATACTAGTGATTACTTTCCATGTACATTAGGCCAGTGCACAGACAGTTTGTGGGCAGAAGGAAAAAAGACAAGATTAACATTAACTAAACTTAATTTAACAGCACACTGCAAGCTCTTACATCTAGAGAGACAGTGTAATTTTTCTCAGGGTGGCCAAAAATACTAGCTTTACTGGCCAAATCAGAAATATGAACCCCAGTCTCCAGCACAAAAGGCGGTAATGGTGCAGACTACGCTATGAAGAACTCCACAGAGCCTGGGACATATATATATTTTTGTTGGTTTAGCATGTTATTAGTGCACTTTACAGCTGACATTATGTTTGGTTATTGTTTAAAATAATCATATGCCATTTGATGGTTTCTGCATAAGCTCAGAGTTACTAAGGTTAAGCCTTCACAGCCAGCGGTACTGCACCAAATGGGGCCGACAAAGAGAGATGAAGCTTGGAGAACCTGAGACAACCCACTAGTTCTATTCCCAGGGTGAGGCTGAGCTGAGCTGAAACAGACCTTGAAAATCTGTCTATAAAAGACACTTAAACATGTTGACCATCAGGGCACTTGTACAGCAACAGGGCAAGTGTTCAAGCCCTCCTTGGGGTCTATTTGTGCATGTGTCTGATGTACAGTTCTGTAAGCTGGTCATTTGTCTAGCTTGTCTGAATCTGTTCTGAAGAGCATGTTCAACACTTTCTTTTACACATGAATTCGTTTAAATTTCTCTTTTAATTTACTGTAGTATTAATGTAAGTATTATTGTTAAGCCTGTAAATGCAGCCATCAGGCTTATATTAAATAAGCATGAAAATAATTTTAAAATGGCTGATTGTTGTCAGGAACTACCCCTTTGATCAAGCAAACTACTGCCTAGGAATATGCTGCAGACTTCAGTTACTCCTTTTTGTTACTCTAACTGAAAGAATGTTTCTGACATCGAAAATAAGGTGTTAATGATTTGAGTCCCAGTCTGAATGTACGCCTGCACTTGTTCATTAACTGCTGCACTGCATCTATCAACAACAGCAGAGACTGAGGCAGCATTATGCAGTGTAAACATGCATAAAATACTTCATAAGACACAAACAATTAGCCACAAAGTGATGAGAAGCACCCATATCAGGGGACTGCATTGATTTTGTGCATTTGTGCCAGTTTAATCAGAGGACACAACCAATTGTTTACCTTCATATAAGCAATTGCAATATAGGATGACCTAGTAAACCTGAACACAAATCACTGTTAAAATAATAAATACCTGTAAAATGTATTCAAACCTAACACTTAGCTGAAGAAAACATGTTATAATCCTTTATAAATCTCCTAATGTGATTAGACTACCATTTGGTATTCATTAAGATTTGCTTAAGATATAAGCACTTTTGTTTTTTATAAAAACACACTTTATTACAGTTGTCTTAAGTGTATGCACTTTAAGACACACAAAATATTTCAAGATCAAATCAAGCCTGTTTCATTAGCTCTGCTGTCACCATTTGGCATCAGGGTCAGTCACACCCCCTTTCAGGCTCTGAGCCATTATGTAGTTTCTGGTCAAATACACAGCAACACCTAATGCAGCCACCCATCCTCGAGAAAACTGCAAGAGCTACTCAATTACTCACTATATGCAATGCCAGATCATTTAACAGCATGTCTTGACATGTTAGCTCTTTAACCAGCAAAAGTCTCTATTACAAGTGCCAACATTTAGAATATTAGGCATGTTGTTAACACATATTGTAGCGTTAGCAACACTGCCAGCAGTAATATGACACTTGCTTAGCGGTTCTCATTCTGGAGATTATTGTATTTTTACCTTTTATATAATTGAATATAAGAGGAATAGTTTGGCGAAACATCAAATTTCCAGTTTTCCACTTACCTTAGATGAACTCGATCAGCCAAGACAAGTTTGGTGTCAAATCTGTGCTTCTTTACTTTGGAACTGGAGCCATTAGATCCCCAAAACACACTCCAAACCTTTTCACAAACCGCATCCAGTTCACCAAGTCATATACATCAACCCTGATGAACACCTGGATGTGGTTTGAGTGTGTGGAGCGAAGTTTTGGGGATGAATTCACATAGAGGATTTGGGTGACCACTGACTTCTAGTGTTTGCAACATTAGCCTTATAGCTCCAGAGCTAAACTAAAGAAGCAGTCTTGACTGATCAACTACATCTGGGGTTATGGAAAATTGTGTACATTTGATTTTTGGCCAAACCATTACTTTAAGATAATCCCCCAAGATTACTCAACCTCAAAGCTCTACACTTCTTTTACTGGTTAACTATGATTATGTTTTTATTTTTTTTATTTATTATTTTTAAAGAACGTCCACAGATCTTGCTGTATTTCTAGCATTCAGTTTGGAGGATGCTGTACCAAACACTCCAGTGCATTATCAATCTCACATACGGATGACATTAAACATTGATGACAGACATTTTAAGTAATATCATATCAATCCAAAGATGATGGAAAGGGGGATGGTTTTCATTAATGTTTTTTTAAACAGGACAATGGCATCCCCTCGCATACCCCTTCAAATCGAGCCCTGGATGTCCTACCGTTCAAACTCATGCCATTCAAGTGCTGGTTCAGGTTTACAGATATGGAGCTACAAATCTCCTTTCGACACATTTGAGGTATCACCTTAACCAAGAGAAGTCCCTTTGTGCCAGGCTGTAGGGCAGGGGTCAGCAACCCAAATATAGAAGAGGCATTTTGTGCTTTCAACAATAACCAAAACACCTTGGGAGCCACAACATTGTATGCTCATTTCACCATTTTGGCTGTAAATATGTCTCAGTATGTGCTAATGCGCTAGCATAGGCTAAGACTTACTTTGCTCTGCTTTAAGCTTTAGCTCAGCAATATCAGCTTTTCTCGCATCTCCAGCAATGTACTTTTCCTCAAAAGTAGAATTTTTATTTTGACAATGTCTCACAACGTTTGATTTTTTTTTCACAAGGCCCAAGTCAGCTTCTCATTCACCAGCTTCTTGTTCAAAATTTCCCGTTCTACCTTAATTCGTTGGTTACAATTCAGAATCTAACTGCTACACCATTTAAGGTGGAACAGAAAAATGTGAACGAGAAGCTGGTGAATGAGAAGCTGACTTCAGCTTTATGACTTTTTTTAGTGTTTGACAGTTTCTCATTGCAGATTACACGTAGCCATCAGGAAATGAACTGGAGTGCTCATAAATTCAAATAAGACCGTTCGTCTCCAAACCACTGATGTACGTCTTAAATCTTTCTCTTTGCCTTTTCGTTAGCAACTATCTAGCTAGGTGAGAATGTCTGCGTGCCAACCTTCAGGGTTAAAGAGTGAATTAGCAGTTTTAAGCTACATTAACTCCAGGGTTTAAGACCATTTACTGTTAAAACTGTGTTAGAATGATCAGCAGAGCTTTATTTTACCGCAAATGAGGATTATTTTATTTTTATCTAATAATCTAATTCTGCTGCGGAGCTGAAACAGAGCAGTAAAAGAGCCGCATGTTGCCGACCCCTGCTCTAAAGCAATGGTTCTCACACTGGTCCTCAAGAGCTCCATTTTTTTTTTACTTCATGAGTTGGAAGTAAAAATGTGGACTGTTTGGGGGGCACTGGGGAGTCTGAGAACCACTGCTCTAGAGCATTCGGTTTAATAAGGTTCTTTCACTTACAGTGTAGACACTGGTGTCTACAGCACTAGGAGCCTGTATGAAGGGGTACATTAATCAGACTGTATATCTATAAGGTCTTCCTGATTGACGAAGCGAGTGAGAAGATGAACACATCACTCTAGGAAAACTTTTCCCACAATCTACTCGTGATTTGTGCAATTTGTTGCCAGAGAGTCTTTCAGCAATGACCTGAACAAGAGGTTTCTCTGTAGTTGTTTTGTTAAAGGTTGACTAACAGTAAAAAGCTTTCTCAACATAATACTATAAGAGCCAGGCAGACCCGTGGTAGCCTGTTGTAATTAAAACAATTTAGTATGGTCATTTTCTCTGCTCCTCACAAAGAGAGAATGCAGTTTTTACAGGAAGCAAAAACATAGGGTTACTCTTCAGATCAATTATACCAATTTGCAGTTGTCTTCCCTTCAGCAAAGTGGTGCTGCTCTCCATTAAAAATTAAAGATAATCATCTGGCTTTTAAAAGCCAGGGGATAAAAGCCAGGGCTTTCTGGACGATGTCAGAGGGAGATAAGTTGGAGAGTGAGACTGTTGCTGGCTTTGTGAGAGCCCTCCAGGCATGGCAAACATATCTGTCCATCTTACAGTCACCCTCTCTTTTGCTTCTGGTGCCATTATTACTCCTTCACACCTGTTTTTGTCCTCCATCAATCACCATTTCAGCCAGAGGGAAGCCACAGATTCACTCTGACAATGACTCAAGTGCTGCTGAATATACGACCTTGTCTTACCATCAGCTTCTTCATTCAATCACAGTTTTATAATGCCATGCAAGCTCTGCCTGAGCTGGAAATGGCTACTGGAAGCCAGAACTCCTAATATATATTCATATTCACAATAAAAAGCCTCAACACATGAACTGACGCAAAACGCCACAGGTACTTCAGAGCTTCTGCCATATATAAGTCACATATGCGTGTGATTTTCACCATATGCATTATTTAGTGTATCAGGAATTAGAGTAGATTACTACTAGACAAGACTTGCATGAATATTATTAACAAAGCTAATGTGTAATATGGATTCATGGAAGAAAAACATGCTCTTCTGGCTTTTCTTTCCCTGCTGCGATGCCTACTACAGTTGTTCTGCAGCTCACTGGAGTCCTTTTAGTTGGTATTGAACCAAACGTTCAAGGCAATTAAGAGATCAGTCCAGCCTGTCAAAGTGCTGGTTTGATTTGAAAAAAACGCTGAGTGGAGCCGCAGAAGAGTGAGCGAGGCTGGTTAGTGTTCTTGTGGGCAGCCAGCTGCCAGTCTGCATGCACATTTCCATCTCGCTCTC